CCAATTCAAAATATCTTACTGATTTCCAAATTTTGAATTAGCCTTTTATTTGATGCATTACCTGCACCGATAAGAAATCAAATGCCATTACAATTAGAAGTCTTGAGCAAACTAATTGAAATGAGTTAACAAATCAAGAAGATAGTAATTTACTTTTACCTACTTTATCAAAAGGACCAAATTATTTAACTTTATTGAATTTAATTAAATCTGATGATGGAATTCAATCAATTCAAAAGATTATCAACTTATTAGAAACAAGTTCAAAAATTATAGATGCTGACAATTTATCAATTGTTTATCTTTCTTCAATCAAATTTTATGATTCATTAGATCTAACATCAATCAATTCAATTGACTTTAAATGTAAATGATTGTTATTGTTGGGGTTTATTAGATGATATCAAACCCATCTCATGTTACATCCAATCCAACCCAATCCAAAAATCTTGTTATCAAATATTCTTTCAACATTTGAAATCTAATGAACCCAATACCATCAAGAAATTGAGGATTTATTAAATTCAAATACGACTCAACTTTCTACTCCTATCAAAAAATCCATTAAAATTAAATCTAAATTGTTAACTTCAACTGATGTTTGTTCTAAAAGAGCGGGAGGAAATGTTCCATATTCAGAAATTAAAAGTTCTTCAGGATTAAAAAGTGAAGGAGATGAAGCAGAAGGGATGGAAGTGGAATAATGGATCATGAATGGTAAGTCTCTCTCCCACAACCCAAAAAAACCAACCTTGACCAATTTTCCTGATGATCTTGTGTATTTTTTTTGTTTAGCTGTTAAAGCAAAATTAATCTCAGCAACAGACAATCAACCTAATAAATTAGTTTATATTAATCAATCTTCTTCTAGATCATTTGGATCTGATGATTGGAAAGTATTGAGTTCTAAACTTTCTCAATGGTCTGATTCAATTGATAATCTAATTGAAGTTGTTGGTCAAAGTTTAAATGATGTGAAATTGTTAGTGTGACTGCTTAAAAAAGTACATAGAATTGTAGAAAACAACTGAACCTCTTTATTGGAATAAATGAAAATGAAAAATAGAGGAAAGTTTGATACAATTCAATTACTTGAGAAATGTTACTTTTGAAAGAAAAAAAAATCAAAACTTTTGTGTAGCTTTCTTTTGAATTGAAGAGATCAAACTTAACCAAAAAGTGATAGATTCAAGATCTCCATGAAATCAAGTCAATTTTTTCTTCTTCTTAAAAGTTACATACGCATACCTCCCTCAAAAATCTGTTTTTTACTTTCTTAGTTTATGTTTTTGGCTCTTGGATTAAGGTTTTCAAAATCTGAAACAAAGTGAAACTTCATGTACTCTGATATGGAATCTGTTAGGGGTTAGGGCCTAGGGGTTAGGGCTTAGGATTAGGGGATTAGGTTCAGGGCAAGAATATTTTCACTCCACACGCAAGTTTATGTGTCAGCACCTTTGTACAAAGTACCCAGGATTTGTACCAATCCTTGATCACATCACAATCAGAATCATCACAAATTACCCATGTAGCAGTACTGATTGGGATTCTGTATTGAAAGAGTTCCATGTTTCTCCTATGGGCAAGTCAACAATCCCAAAATATTCTGTTTCTGCAGCTCAGAACAGATGGACTATGTGCTACAGAATTAGTGGGGTATTGAAAGATCATGGCCTATAGTCTCACTTTAGATCTGGATTGACTTGTGCCAAAGTGTTGATAATTAGTATGATGCTTTTGTATCTGATCTGAGCAATAGCAAGATATATTTCAGTGTCTACATTTCATATCAAAATGATTCTACTATCAAACAGAACACCCTGCAAAAC